GCCAGGCTCCATCTCTGCTGGAAGGGCGGCTGCTCTCACCCTGGGTCTGGAGGAACTATGATGGAGAAAGAGAAATGTAGGGCTTGGGGGGGCCCCGGTGATACGGCAGAAGCAAAGACAGCCTGACAGCTGGGTCTCACCTGACTTTCAACAGGTTGGCATTTTCGTTTTATTTATATATTTAACAGAAAACAGGTAATTAGTTGTAAGATAGGTCATAAACCAGCAGTAATATAACATAGATCATACTTGATGTAACACTGTCAGAAAAACTGTGTACATATGCCCACAAGATACCATGCATGGAGAGTAAGCACGAGAGATTGCTCCCCAGGTGCTGGTCCCAGGGAACTGCTGAAATTCTGGCAGCAAGTGGTTTTTATGATTTTTATGGTTTAGTTCACATTCTTCCTTTCCCTGTAAACAATTTGGTCTGGATGTAAACTGTCAGGAAATGCTATGACAGGACAAACGCTCAGGGCTCTGCAGAGGCCATGCCAAGCTTGACTCCAGGGGTGGCCGGGACTTGGGGCTACCTCCACATGGCTGCTTGTCGCCAGGAGAGAAGGACACACAGCCATGTGGCTCCTCTGGGCAGGGCTCTGCAGCGGCCTCAGCCCAGGCATCCCTTCCTAGGACACGCAGCAGTGTCCAGGACAGGCACTCACCCTCCACACTTGTTTTTACTTGTTTTCCCCGTGCTTCGCTGAAGACCTGTCTGTCCTGAGCAGAAGCAAACCTCTGTGCACACGGCCACTCGCTTCTTCTGTAGGTTGAGGTCTGCTGTGAAGGGCGGGTGGACTTTAAGCCCTTCTAGGGAAGCAGAGCGAAAAATCAGGAGCAGATCTATAGCAGCTAATTTTATCTCTTAAACTGTACATGAAAAAAAACCTCAGTGCAGTGGCCTCCATGGGGTTACTGTGAGGTTAATATCAAGGCTGTATTACTCTTTTTCAGCTTCCTTTTCCAACTTTCAATCTGCAGCTGATTTTTTTTTTTTAATTGGTAAAACACAGGAATGTCCCAGAGATGCTTCTGGGATTGCAGTAGGAATCGGGTAGGGACAGTGGGGCTCAGTATATTATCTTCATTTTTAAAATGTTTTCTCAATTCCAGAGCTGAAAATATGTATTTTTTAAAAGCACAGGTCCTGAAGTACAGAACCCCTTTTCTGCAGCAAATCCTCTTACCAGGGACCTGTGGAATATGCCACACCTCAGTTGACTGAGTGGACACTTGATGCTTGAACTTTTAGTGCATTTTCTATTGCCTCTACTTTTAAGGCTCAGTCTAGCTCATCACAGTCAAAATAACTCCCGTTAAACTGCTGCAAGCGTGCACAGTAGCAGGCAGCTGTGGGAAGGGCATGCCGTTTGCCTCCTGAACAAGGAGCCTCCAACGGCTACGGTTTGGTGGCTGAACGGGAGCAGAGTCCCTCTCCCAGCCTGCTTTCTCTTGTCTAACACTTGGGTCCTCTGGGATCTGCAGAAATGGGATGTGTCTGATTTCCAGCGTCAGGGCTGTCAGAGAAACTGCTTGTGGGACACCGCAGGGGTAACACCCGTAGTGGTGTATTTAAAAGCCACCTCTTTTCTGCTACCTGGACCATTGCAGGAGACACAGATATCCTTTCTTCATTTCTCCTTTGACACTTAGGCCATTCATTTCCCAACTGCTTTCTGCTGCAGTCCTAGCTTATGCCAGTCTTGCCTTTCCTGGACCAGCCCTTCCCTTGGCCGGCACAAGTGTCTGTACGACAGCGACAGATCAGCGCAGCCACCAGAACTGGGTTAAAATAAGCTTGCAAGAAAGGAAAAAACAAAAAGATTCATTTTAACCTGGATCAGTTCCTCAATCCTGTGCTCCACATTGTCAGGGGCAAGTAAAAAAGTGATACCACAAGAGAGTGAAGAGCAAATGATGTGTGAAATGACAGCCTAAACTATAAGTGGATGGAGATGACCCGTCTCAGTCACCCGGCTTTAGACAATATAAAAATCCTCTTTAAGTCTTCAAGTATTTTTATAGACTTAAATCACCATTTCCCCTCTCCCTGAAACAATCTCCAAAAACGGAGCGTGGCAACAGTGGCAGAAGAAAATGAGACCAGTTCTGCGAGTACGTGTATGGGGCCAGCAGCTCTCGTCTGAGCACTGAGCCTCATCCCCGACTCCTCGAGCTGCCCAGGAGACCCTGGAGGGACAATGTCTCATTTTATTTTCCTGACTTCTTGCAGCCTGCAGAGACTGGAGCAGGACTCTGCTCTGCTCGAGAGAGTGAGGATTTAGAGGCTGAGCCGGGTAACCCTGGGAGATGCGTGTCCTGGCTCGCACACACCGCTTGAACTGGAGCGGATTTATTCCACTCTGAATTCCTACCTTCAGGAGGACTCCCCAGGGGGATGTCCTGCAGCTCATAGGGACGGGAGGAGAAAGCTCCAGCACAGCCAGCCAGCCCTTCACCCCCTATATTCCCCTTCTGCATCATCCGCTGTCTGATTTCTGGTGGGAGATGGGCCAGGGATGGTGGCTCTAGGACCACTGCAGGTACATTTTCATCTTTGGCATCTGATTTTGACTATTTGATTGGAAAACAGAAGGAAGTGCTAATCGTCACCTCCTGGCCAAGTGGTCCAGGTTACCAACACTACCGAGTACAGGTACTGCTGCTGGGAGCTGCTCGTTGTGGGCACTGACACCTGGGGACCCGGCTTTTGCTCCTTCTGAAAGATGCCGCTAGGGATTCCTGCCGGCATTACGGTATGGAACGTGGCTGGAGCATGCTATCACTGAGCAAAGTACGGGAGGAAAGCCCCTTTCCGGGTGTGGGGTGTTCAAACTCCAAGCTGCAGGGGGATGGGAGCAGCCGATAAGCAACTTGACCTTCGCTCTTGCACAGAGACCGCGTGGGGCCCATGCTGCTCTCGGGTTCCTCAGGTGCTCTTGGCTGAGCAGGTCTACGCGGTCCCTTCCTCAGACCAACTGGAAAATGACTGCAACACTGTTATAAAAACATGAAATAAGTGAATCTTCTGGAGCTGCAGAGTCCTACAGCTCCAAAAGCAACATAAATTTTTCAAGGGTCCCCATCACTCTGAAAGTGTAAAGGAACAGGATAGAGATAAATGTAGGGGAAAGTGAGAGATGTACTGCAAGGCTGGCATTTTGGAGTATGAATTTACCTTTTCATTAAAACCAAGGTCCTGAGTTTGGGGAGAACCTGCACTTAGTTCTGGATCCTGTGTCTCTGCTGCCCTTTTTATTTACAGACTACACATAGTGCTTTTGGGCTATGTGTCAACTGCAGAAGGCAGTTGTTATTTTAAAGACAGGAATATTTTTTATGAGTGCCACTGCCCACCAGAGATTTTGATATTTTTTAAAAACGTTGGCTAATTTTGTGTTTTGAGTAGGAAGCTTCAACTTCACACCAATTCTACACATGCTCTTCTTCTGCTATCCAGCAGTTTAGGCAAGATTAACCTGCAACCGAGACGTCCCTCCACTAATCTCTATGGCTTTTATCAGGATTTTATTATTGCTTACCTTACTGTGGACTTTGAGAACACGTGGGGAATATCTGAAGTAGTTTAAAATTATTTAATCTTTAAAATACCACTGGGTTGCAGGCAAGTGTCCCTATATATCCACCTAGCCCCCGTTTTTGATTTTGCTTTCTAACCGGTGAATAAAGCAGGGAAGGCAGGGCCAGGTGAGCTGCCTGCAGCGACCTCTGCGGGGAGCCTGCCTCTCCCCCGGCCTGTGCTAAAAAAACCCCCCCCGCTCCTGCTCCGGATGCCTCCCCAAATCCTCAGTCCCCGCCCGACACCTCTGTGCTGTTCGTCCTGCACCACCCCAGCGCTCGCCCACGGGGAGAGGGGACCCCCTTGGGCACCACCCCGTCTCGCCCACGCTGACAGTGGAAGGGAGTGCCCAGGCAGTGTTGAGGGAGGAAAAGTCTCTGAAAAGCGGCAGAATTAGCAACGTCTTGCACATCGCCTCCCCAAATCCTCAGTCCCCGCCCGACACCTCTGTGCTGTTCGTCCTGCACCACCCCAGCGCTCGCCCACGGGGAGAGGGGACCCCCTTGGGCACCACCCCGTCTCGCCCACGCTGACAGTGGAAGGGAGTGCCCAGGCAGTGTTGAGGGAGGAAAAGTCTCTGAAAAGCGGCAGAATTAGCAACGTCTTGCACATCAAAGCAAGTCCTGAAGCAGGCAAAGCAGCAGCCGGGGAAGGCAGCGACCCAGCCCCAACATCCCCCCTTGTCTGTCCATCCACCTCGGCACACGGTGGGAGGCAGCGGGCAGCTCCAGCACCGGCACCCTCAGCCCGCTCGACGGCTCATCCATCAGGAGCGACGAGGAGGAACAGTGCTTGGTATCATCCCAGGCACCTGCCTGCCTGCCAGGCTTGCTCTCTAAAACAGGCTGCCAAGCACAGAGAGCTGATGAATCAATACGGATCTTATTCTACAGCCCGTGCCCAGTAGCTATCGATGCCACTTCTGCCGGCACGGGGTGGGCTGTGCTGCTGTACCCCAGGACGGATCTGGGCTACGAGGGAGAGGACACCAGCACTGACTCCTCGGTGCCCGCCTCGGATGACTGTGAGAAAGCAGCCAAACAGGAAGACTTCAGAGACGGCGTCTCTGTGTTGCCACCGCCAGTCTCCCCCACCGGCACCAAACATGCGTGTTTGCCAAGCACAGAGGAGAGTTTGGATATACTGCAGTCGGTCAGTCCTTCGGATGAGATGTGAAAGCAGAGGCCTCCTCCTCCACCAGCCACGCAGAACCCGTCGCACGTCCCGAACAGACTATGAAAATCATCCGACATCCAGATCACCATCTCCTCTTCCACCGGACAGCTTCTCACTCCCATCCCAAGGCTGTAAATTGCTATGGATAATAGCTGTGACGTTTATCCGGACCGTGGCTGCCTACCTGTGCTTGCGCGGAGGGTCTGGTGCTTGATGGTCCCATTGGAGAGGTGGTGTCTGGCTACTTGGAGCTCGTGTACTTGGTGACGGCCTTGGTGCCCTCCGAGACGGCATGCTTGGCCAGCTCTCCCGGGAGCAGCAGGCGCACGGCCGTCTGAATCTCCCGGGAGGTGATGGTGGAGCGCTTGTTGTAATGGGCCAGGCGAGAGGCTTCTCCAGCGATGCGCTCAAAGATGTCGTTAACGAAGGAGTTCATGATGCCCATGGCCTTGGAGGAGATGCCGGTGTCGGGGTGGACCTGCTTCAGCACCTTGTAGACGTAGATGGAGTAGCTTTCCTTCCTGCTCTTGTGTCGCTTCTTATCGCCCTTCTTCTGGGTCTTTGTCACGGCTTTCTTGGAGCCCTTTTTGGGGGCAGAGGTGGACTTTGCTGGCTCCGGCATCCTGAGAGCTCTTCCTCTGGGTCTTGGAGCTGCTTGGGAAGAACACCAAAAAATCAAATTCTTTTTTATTCTTCTACAGTTTTGTTTTACTGAAAGATGAGAGAGTCTGAGTCGCAGACAAGCGGCATCTCTGAATCCGAGACAAACACCCCATGACCCCATACAAGCATTTTTGAACTGCCAGTGAGAACTGCTCTGGTTTGTGTACGTTTTTTTGTTGTTTTGTGTTTAAATCCCCGTAACACCGGCCTTGTAAACATCGCTCAACCCAGGCCTAGTTGACATCTACTTAGTAAATATGGGCTGGGGGTGAACATATTGCTGAGAAGAACATTGCAGTTCTAAAGAAAACACTAACTGCAGCATGGATTAAATTAAATCTTACTGGAATAGGCTGGAGATTCTTGCAAGATTCACTGAAGCGACCTTTGTAGGAAACTGGTCAAAATGATTTTACATGGTTATTACAATCTCCAATAGACCCTTTTTTTTTTGCATGTATGTAAAAGCTTATTTTGGGAGTGCTTGCATTCCTGTGGCTATTGTTTTATACCACGTATTCCAGTGGAACATAAAAATTATACAGTTTTAAGCTAGCTAGCTGAGCTACTGGAATCTCTCTGTATTCACGTTAGCTAGCAAAAATACCACAGAGTAGAAAAGCTCAGAGGAGGTGGCAGGCATCACCTGACCGAGAAACAGGGATGTGGATAGGAGGCAAAAATCAAAAATCAAAAATCATTGACACGTGCTTTTGGGCTACGTGTCAATGGAGAGAAGCTACATGGACTGAAATTGTTTCCTGCTATTTTGCTTTCGGGAAAGCCGGCCTCCGCTGGGCAGTTTGCATCAAAGATGCCTGATCCTCCCTCTGAGTTTTTCTTCATTAGGCCACAACCTGCAGAGCCCTGTCTGCTGTCATCCAGAAGTGCCAAACCAAAAAGATAGTATGTAAACCCATCATAAAACTGGGTGCCTCCCCTACACTACAAATTTACACGTGTTTTACTACGTGCATCAAGGGAATAACTGTTGTAACTAAACAATTTTGCGCTTCAAAGGACACTTCGAGCGCTCCCTTGAAAGGCAAGGCTTCTCCAGGCTTTGCTGGAGGATCAGCTTCCAGCACCACCCCAGGGCTTGGGCTTTTACTGCTCTGCGCCTCCTTTGAAGATGACCTACGAATTACAGTCTGTTGGCCAAGAGAGACTAGAAGAGAAAAAAGAGCTTCAGGGCTGATGACACATGGGAAAATGGATAGAAGTAAACAGGAGAGAGAAATCTCAGATGTAACATATGGTCTGCACACACAGAGCAGCAGAGAGGGATCTAAACGGTGCCTGTGCCAAAGCGACGGCTGCGCGCTCAGCCCTGCCCCTCCTCCTTCGGAAGGAACGAGATGCCACCCTCCATCCTGGCCTGGTTTCTCCGCTATTGTCCACATCTGCAATAAAAGCCAGACACAGCAGTTGTCTTGCAACCAAGTCTTTAAAAAGTTCCCGGTTGCTCCTTGTGGGAGCAGACACCTTCCATGCCAAGGCTGGATTTACACGCCCACGTCTCGGTGGATACCAGCTCCTGCTTCCAAACTGTGGGAGAAACCTCCGCAGCTCCTAACCCTCGGTACGAGAGATGCTGCCTTCCACCTGCAGCAAGCACCAAGGCTGCTGCCGGCGGCTTTATCCTGCGAGGCACCAAGGCCAGGCTCTGGCGGCTGCATGGTCTGGCAGGTGATGGGCAAAGGGCCGAGCGTTTCAAGTGGGGCTACGCCCAGCTGCAAGGGCAGGCTGGCACTGCTCGGGATGCTAGGGAGCGGGGAGGCAACGTCTTCACCACAGCCCTCCAAAATGCCCACCTGGCCAGAAGCAAAAGTCGGCACCAATGCCCTTAGCATTGAGTTTTTGCTCAAGCAAAGCAGTTTCTTCCTTGCCATTAACCGGAATTTTGCCTTTCTGAGGCCTGAGAGACCTATTCAAGTTTCCTTTGCTTCACCTTGCAAAAAGAAGTATTTTGTCAGTCCAAAATGGGATACTGTCTAATTAGGTAGAAAAGGCCAGCATACAGGAAAACTTCATGCAACAGGCTGCAAGCACACCACTAACTCCCCCCTGCACCAGAACCTCAAGCTCCTTATGACTAAAGCATACAATTATTAAAAAAACTCCACCAAAACTGGCTAAATACATATAAATCCAATCCCACTCAAATCCCTGGAATAACTAGCAATCTAACATCAGGTATGGAGGATAAGAAGAAAAAGAAAAGAAAAAATGGTGCAAAAGTATTGAAAGCTGTTGATGCTTTCTTCCACTGGCTTTGGTTTATGAACATTAGTATCTTTTCCTAGTTTCAGGAAACCTGTAGTTGTAACGTATACTACAGGCAATCATAAACTAACATATTTTGCTGACTCTTTGAAGTTAAAGGAAAAGCAGTTTCACAGAAAGAGGAAGGGGATGGGCACGTTGTAGGAGTAGTTCTTCAGGTGAACTCACCCCCTGGCAAAGCTTCACGGCCCAGTAAGCTGGTCTAGATGGAAAACCACGGACAAAGACCATGTCCAGAGACACGCGGGATGCGCAGAGAAAAGTGGACTCTATGACTCGGCATGGCAAAATGCTCAGTTTGAGCAGATGAAAAAGAGTGTCACAGAAATGCCAGAAATGTGCAGCTGGAAGGAGCCTCCAGAGCTCCAGGCTTTGCTTTGAGGGTGCCCAGGCGTGCCCCCCCCGATCAATTTCTTACCTTTTCTTTAAAACCTCCAAAGACATGATTTTCATTGAACTATGTGCTTGACTCTGCCACCTCATCCCCTTTATTAATTTTTCCGGGCGTTCTTCCCAGTGGAGACATTTGGAAGGGCAGGTGCTGGACTGCCAGAAAGACCTGGACACCCTTCAAAACTCTGACATCTGCCCCCTTAAACACCACATTTTCTCCCTCTGGTGAAACCACAATTTTTCTTCCTTTCTTCCTCTGCTTGGGAAGCAATATCGGGAAAAGAAATTCCTTACCGTTCTTGTTTGCAGACCCGAAAAGATGTCTTTTCAATGGAAAGGCATTTTTCCAAGAGAAGAAATAACTGTGCACTTGCTTCTTTTTCTCACGAGCTAATTTCCTGACTGAAAAACACTACAACTGAAAAATATAAATGACTATTTCTTAGGCTTTTAAAAAGTGTGTCCTTCTAAAATGTCCTTAAGTGCACTCGTACTGTGGCTTTTAAAAAATGAATACAGCACCCAACAGGCACGAGAGCGATTTCATACGTCTCCAGAAAAGGTCACACCTCCAGGACATCTCCGTCCATTTGAGGGGCTGATGCTCTCAGGTAGTGCAGCCAGATCTCGCTCTTCTCCCATGTATGGCTGCGATGAGGGAAGCAATGATGCTAAAGTTCAGAGATTAGCACAAAGGCTTTGGTGTCCTTCCTTCCCTCCACCCATTTCTTTGCAGCCTACTATTTAACAGGTAAATAACACCTTCCTTGGGAACAGGTTGTCTTCCTCCCAGTTTGTTTGGGCAGTGCCCAGCACAAAGAGCCTGACTGCATTTGCCAGGTGCTAAATAAATAGTGTTAATAACAGCCACCAGTATCACCAACCCTTCTGTCAACACTGTAATGCACTCCACAGGCAGGTGCTGCTCTGGTATGAAGATAAAAGTAGTGGGATTATTCCCAAAGTGTCCATGTGGAGAGTTTGTTGAGGGAAAATTAGGTGACCTTTAAAAAATGGGTGGTTTTGGATGAAAATAGTTGCATTTCTTTCTTCTTCCTTTAAATAAAGGAGAAAAATGGAAGAGGTTAATATTTATTAGTTTTTGCGTTTGGAAGTGTTGCCATCACGACTGACTTCTCTACTGTGAGGGTGACTGAGCACTGGCACAGGTTGCTCAGAGAAGTCGTAGGGTCTTCATCCTTGGACATACTCAAAACCCAGCTGGACATGGCCCTGAGCAACCTGCAGTGGCCGACCCTGCTCTGAGCATGGGCTGGACTAGATGGTCTCCAGAGGCGTCTCCAGCCTCAGCCATTCTGTGACTCTCCGAGACTGAAGCTGGGTACCTCTTGTGTAGAACATGCTTTATGAGCTGTGTTCCCCCGATGGACACTTCCTATGGGATACTGCAGCCAGAGACTCCCACAAGGACCCCTAAGGAGGGGAGATGGTGTTCATCTCCAGGTCCAAGCCACCAGGTCCCTGGGTATGGCCATGCAAGAGGAGGCACTCTGAAGCGTTATGGTGACATTTGGAAGGTTTCAGGTTTTCGAGGAAAATCTTTGGGCACATTTTTTTCTTTACAGCTTTGTATGCTCTGAGTCAATCGGTTATCAGTGCTGGCATTTTTTTCCTTCCTCAGAAAACCAACAACAAAACCAACCACAGTATTTTTTCTTGCCAGCTCCAAGCAGCAGCCTGCCTGCTGCTAGAAACCAGAGCGGTGCGGAGTGACAGATACATCTTCCTTTGTGTTGACATCCCTTTCTTCAGCATCATTAAAAGGAAAATGAACTGAAAACATATTCAAAGATACAAATCACCGTAGTCTCTTAGATCCGAGATGGGAGAGGAGCCCTGCTGAGAAATCCCACGTGAAGCCTGATGCTGTCTCTATTTTCCCTAGACCTGATATATTGATGGAGAGAGAGACAGGCAGGGAAGCTTCCGCAGCATTTTTGTCCGTTTTTGGCCTTGCTGCTGAGTCTGTAGGACCCGTGCCAAGTTGGTGCCTGCGGTGTGCATGGGTGACCACGGGTGGACTATTAGCTGGCCTTCTGGACCCCTCCTCATGCAGGGGTGGAAACAGCACTTGGATTTTTCCTTCTTTTTCCTATTAAAAGCTGTCCTTGCTGTGATGAGCTCTGTGGCATCCACTGTAAATCCCCATGCCCACCAGGCTGCTCCCTTGCTATAATTTCCTAATGAACCACAAAATTTACATTTCTAGACGCACTTTGTTCTTAGGAGGTTTTGGGGTTTTGGTGAAAAATTAAACACTTGTAG